GCCCAGGTGACAGTGCGAGACTATGTCTCTAAAAAAAAAAAAAAATAGTGCCTATCTGATAGGGTTGTTAAAATTATGAAATAAGTAAATACATATGTCAAGTGTTTAAAACAGCATCTGGCATCTGGTAAAAAGTGTGATATAAATTTTAGCTATAATTATTACTTACTTCGACTGCTCTTTAACCAAGGTCCTTATTTTTCATCTTTTCCTTTTGTTTTGAATATCACTTAGTGTTTTCACCTTTACTCTTTTTAGGACCTAGAGCCATCCTAGGTGTAATATGTATGGAGACATTTGATCAGGCCTCCTGACCTCCATTCTCTCCTTAAACACATGCCAAATCACAGCATTACTAGCTCATTCCCTCCAGATATGATAAGAGTTTTCCGAAGAGGGAGAGCTGATAGGTGATTATCACACTTAACCTCTAGTGAATCTGATGGATTAAACTGCTTCTGTGCTTCCAGGGCATTGAGGAAATGGGTTTAAGATAAGAAATGTCCATGAAAGGGAGGCCCTGGGGGAAAGGAACAATAACTGCAGCCCTGAGGATCCGCCACCAGTGATACCAACAGCACCAGCATGGAAGGATGCTCTACAACCATTATTTATTTTATTTATTTTTTTGAGACAGAGTTTCGCTCTTGTTACCCAGGCTGGAGTGCAATGGCGCGATCTCGGCTCACTGCAACCTCCGCCTCCTGGGTTCAGGCAATTCTCCTGCCTCAGCCTCCTGAGTAGCTGGGATTACAGGCACGCACCACCATGCCCAGCTAATTTTTTGTAGTTTTAGTAGAGACGGGGTTTCACCATGTTGACCAGGATGGTCTCGATCTGTTGACCTCGTGATCCACCCGCCTCGGCCTCCCAAAGTGCTGGGATTACAGGCTTGAGCCACCGCGCCCGGCCTACAACCATTATTGATTTTAAATTTACAACAGTCCTTCAGGGGAGAGATAATTCCCTGTTTTACTGAAGAGAAAGCCCATTTGGTAGTCAAGTACTATTTCCAAAGACAAATAGCTGATAAATGTCAGGCAGGGTTTTGCACCCAGGCTCATCCAGCCCCCATCTCTAGTGTCCTTTCCCTCATGCCACACTGATACAGAGGAGTGTGTCTGATTGGGGAAGTGGAAGTGTTCCCAAGTGGAGAGGTCATCTGATGCACAAATTTGGTCTGGGGTGGGTGGCTGGGTGTGTGTGTGTGTGTGTGTGTGTGTGTGTGTGTGTGGCGCTCAGACCTGTTGTTAGTCAGCTTTAACAAACAACTGTACAATTGACAAAGCATGTTTGTTACTTTCAATTTAGAGGGAATTAGGTTTGTTAAGCTCTTGCTCCTTCTTTAGAGATAGAGTCTAGCTCTATCACCCAGGCTGGAGTGCAGTGGCATGATCACAGCTCACTGCAGCCTCAATCTGCTGGGCTCAAGTGATCCTCCCACTTCAGCCTCCCAAGTAGCTGGGACTACATGCCTGGGCCACTACACCAGGCTAATTAAAAAAAAAATTTTTTTTTGTAGAGTAGAGACAAGATCTCACTGTGTTGCCCAGGCTAGTCTTGAACTGCCGAGCTCAAGCAGTCCGTCTTCCACATTGGCCTCTCAAAGTGCTAGAATTATAGGCATGAGCTACCGTGCCTGGCCTTTATTTCTTTCATATATTCAAATTTTGTCATATTACTAGGGAACTATAATTCGAGTTTTCTTTTTTTTTTTTTTTTGAGACAGAGTCTTGCACTGTCACCCAGGCTGTAACAATCTCCACCTACTGAGTTCAAGCAATTCTCCTGCCTCAGCCTTCCAAGTAGCTGGGACTACAGGCGTGCACCACCACGCCCAGCTAATTTTTTTGTATTTTTAGTAGAGATGGGGTTTCACCATGTTGGTCAGGATGGTCTCCATCTCCTGACCTTGTGATCCTGCCACCTCCCAAAGTGCTGGGATTACAGGCGTGAGCTACTGCACCTGGTCAATTCGAGTTTTCTTATAGTTTGATGTTCATTGGTTTTTAACTAATCCTGCTATACGTAACTGAACATATTTGAACATTACAGTAATTATAGTAATTTGTTTCAGGTTGGGCACTCAAGTATTAGGAAATAAAAACTAGATTTGTATATAGACTTACTCATTTTTTTTTTTTTTTAGATGGAATTTTATTCTTATTGCCCAGGCTGGAGTGCAATGGCACAATCTCAGCAACCTCCGCCTCCTAGGTTCAAGTGATTCTCCTGCCTCAGCCTCCCGAGTTGCTGGGATTACAGGCCTGTGCCACCATGTCCAGCTAATTTGTTTAGTAGAGACGGGGTTTCTCTATGTTGGTCAGGCTGGTCTCGAACTCCCAACCTCAGGTGATCCACCCGCCTCAGCCTCCTAAAGTGCTGGGATTACAGGAGTGAGCCACCATGCCCAGCCAATATATAGACTTCTTATTGCAAGTATCTAGTCTTAAATGTTATAAAGGTACTATTTGAACTTAAAAATATGAAATTGTGTGCCTACTATATAAGTGTACTTATTCTGAGTTATCTTTTACTTGAAATTCTAGTCTTAATGTCTATAGGAATTACGAATGGTTAAATTATGAATGACTGTAATAGTTTAAAGCTATAGTATTTATCTTTTGAGATGTGGAGTTTTGCTCTTGTTGCCCAGGCTGGAGTGCAATGACATGATCTCGGCTCACTACAACCTCCGCCTCCCGGGTTCAAGCAATTCTTCTGCCTCAGCGTCCCAAGTAGTTGGGATTACAGCTGTGTGACACCACCCCTGGCTAATTTTTGTATTTTTAGTAGAGACAGGGTTTTGCCATGTTGGCCTGACTGGCCTGGAACTACTGACCTCAGGTGATCCACCCGCCTTGGCTTCCCAAAGTGCTGGGATTACAGGTGTGAGCCACAGCACCTGGCCTATAGTATTTAAATGTGGACTCTCTGTCATCCATTATGCTGTTTATCCTATGGTGAAAATTTTATGAAGATTGAATGTTTTTCTCCAGCATGAATTGCTTTCTCTTTCTTTTCTCATTTTTTACCTTCCTAATCTACTTGCACATACTCCAGATTATTTTTAGAATGTGGTATGGTGAGAACAAATAAATTGGAGTTTGCAAATCTAAATAAAATTCTGTGGCCCTCAATGGGATTAGCAGGATTGTATTGAAAACACCAGTAGAAACAAGGTAGTTCTTTTGTGTGCTTTAAATAAAAATTTATTTTCAGGCCAGATGCAGTGGCTCAAGCCTGTAATCCCAGCAGTTTGGGAGTCTGAGGTAGGCAGATCACCTGAGGTCAGGAGTTTGAGACTAGCCTGGCCAATATGGTGAAGCCCCGTCTCTACTAAAAATGCAAAAATTAGCTGGGTATGGTGGCATACGCCTCTAATCCTAGCTATTTCAGAGGCTGAGGCATGAGAATTGCTTGAACCTGGGAGATGGAGGTTTCAGTGAGCCAAGATCATGTACTCTAGCCTGGGCAATAGAGTGAGACTCTCAAACAACAACAAAATGTTTCTTTTCAGGCTGAGTACTGGGGTTCACACTTGTAATCCCAGCACTTTGGGAGGCCAAAACAGGAGAGTCGCTTGAGACCAAGAGTTTGAGACCAGCCTGGGCAACATAGTGAGACCTCCTCTCTATTTGAACAAACAAACAAACAAACACAATACTCTTTTCATAGAAAAATGTTTACTACATAGTAAACTTTAAAAGAATATGAAGCTGTATTAATGTTATGACTCCAATGTAAAAAAAAAAAATGCACGCGCGCACACGCACACATTCTGAAATAGATGTAAAGGAATTACATCAAAATGTCATTTTTTTTTTCTTTTTTTTTTTTTTGGAGACAGGATCTTGCTCTGTCATCCAGGCTGGAGTGCAATGGTGCAATCACAGCTCACTGTAGCCTCAACTTCCTGGCCTCAAGCGATCCTCCCACCTCAGCCTCCCAAAGTGCTGGGATCAGGCATGTGCCACCATACCTGGCAACATGTCAGTTTTTGTTCTGGATAGTAGGACAGTGGGATATGGATTTTTTTAATCTCTTATTTTCTTTTTTATATTTTTCTAAATTTTCCACAGTGAATATTATTTTGTAATCTTTCAAACATACCTCTTAAAAGGACTGGTTTCTACAGAATTTAGTTCAAGAAATCTGTATTACTTTATACTTTGTTTGCCTTGATCACTGGGCCTTTCCTGATGGCAAAGAAGAGGCTAATGTAGGCAGCAGATAAAACACAGGTATGCTCTATTTAAAATATGTGTAATTATAATAAAAGTATAGGTAGTACCCAACGGAAAATCTCATGATACATTGCAGAGTGGAACAGAAATTATCTTTAGCTCACTTTCTGTTTTGGATTATTGCATGAGCCTGATTTTCATCTCTCTTTCTACCTTTCCTCACCCCAGTTGTAAATCTGCTAGTGCATGGATATGAAGTATAAGTCTTTTTTTTTTTTTGGAGATAGAGTCTTGCTGTGTCACCCAAGCTGGAGTGCAGTGGCATGATCTCAGCTTACTCCATCCTCTGCCTCCCGGGTTCAAGTGATTCTCCGGCTTTAGCCTCCTGAGTAGCTGGGATTACAGGTGTGTGCCACCACGCCTGACTAATTTTTTGTATTTTTAGTAGAGATGGGGTTTCACCATGTTGGCCAAGCTGGCCTTGAACTCCTGATCTTGTGATCCACCCGCCTCATCTTCCCAGAGTGCTGGGATTACAGGTGTGAGCCACTGTGCCTGGCCTAATGTGAAGTATGTCTTAATTTAAAAAGAAGTTTTATGAAGCTGTGTAGTAAATCCCTTTTGTAAGTGGTCTTGACTGCATTTCTTAATATATCTTTTGGTTTCATTAGCTTGAAGTATCTAAATGAGAACTGTGACTTTGGACAGACTTTTTCAGTCATCTTTATAGTAATAAGTTCTTCATTAGACAATAGCTGTTTGTTTTATGACTTACTGTTAGTAGGTTATCCCCAAAGGGCTGATAAATTCCTGTTTTGAAAAGTCCAAAAAGTCTTTGATGACTTGCTGTTTCATTTTTTCTTTTCTCTTCAGTTATAGAAAACAGGATTACACTTTGTACGCTAGCATCTACTATCTGCCGACTTAACCTGAGTAAATGCTTTGAATTGAGCCCCATATAATGTCCTGAGCCAGCCTATATGGAATAATGAATTGACTTCTCTCCTGTGCACCCAGAATGGTACTTAGCACTCAAAGTGTTACTCATATAACTTTGTGTGTTCTGGGGCTCAATGAAGTCGTTATTAAATCGCAGACTTAGGGGAGAACACTCATTCTATGGCATTTGAATTAAGTGTTGCCCAATTCTAGAACTTATAATAAATTTTTTTTAGAAACCCACAGGCTTAGAATTATTCTGTAGATATGAAGTAATATACCTGGAACTTAGGTGGAGTTCTTCAGATTAACTTGTAATTTGAAAAACCAAAATTGAAATTGTGAAATAATGTCAGCTCTTTGAGGCTTTTTCCAGTAAAACAGTTACGGTAAAGCTGGTTGGCAGTGAGATTGCCAGACACTTTGGCTAGTCACCTCCTGTGACTGCTGTTAATTAGATGTGGTTTGTAGCTAAGCAGCCTATAAGGAGAAGACTGTTTTAGTATTTGCCTATACTCTCCTTGAAAATACGACCTGGTCTTTGGTTTTAATTTATACTTTTTTTTTTCATGTAGAATAGCTATTCAAATATCACCTATGGTGATTAGACTAAAAAGTAAAACATAAAATCAGTCATTCTTGGTGCTTTGATTTTATGGAAAAAACTGCTAGCTGGTTTCTGGTTTGAGAAACAATACAATCATTGTACCACTTACTAGTCCTCCTCTCTCCCCAGCTAAAAATAAGAACAGCAACAACCAAAAAATCCTTAGTTATATACTGGAAATGAATCAGATAATTTTTTGGGATGTGTTAGTTTGAAAATGCAAATATTCATGCATGACCCCAGTGTTCATCTATGATGGAGTAGGTAGTGTGGGATGCTGTTTTACGGTTTTAACTTGGACCTTCAGGGAGTAGACTGTGATGCCTCTGCCTCTGTAGCCAACACAGATAATTAGTCTATTTCTGGCTGGCCACGATGGCTCATGCCTGCAATCCCAGCACTTTGGGAGGCTAAAGTGGGAGGATTGCTTGAGGCCAGGAGTTCAAGATCAGTCTGAGCAACAAACTGAGACCTTGTTTCTACAAAAACTGCAAAGAATTAGCCAAGCATGCTGGTGTGTGCCTCTAGTCCCAGCTACGCGAGTCCCTGAGATAGGAGGATTGCTAGAGCCCAGGAGTTGGAGGTTACAGTGATCTATATTTGCCACTGTACTCCAGCCTGGGTGACAAAGAGAGACCTTGTCTCAAAAACAAAAGTCTATTTTTTTTTTTTTTAAAGACGGGGTTTTACCATGTTGGTCAGGCTGGTCTTGAACTCCCGACCTCAGGTGATCCGCCCGCCTTGGCCTCCAAAGTGCTTGGATTACAGGCATGAGCCACCACGCCCGGCCTACGGCTTATAGCTTTTTGTAACACTGGAGTTTATTACAAAAAGCAGATAATTCTTTTTTAAAATCTTTCTTTTAGAACCACTGCTTTTTGGCTACATTGTCTACAGTAACAGTTTTCAATAAAAATAATATCCAAGTCACATAGGCAATGTTAAGTTTTTTTTTTTTTCCCTGCCTCAGCCTCCCAAATAGCTGGGACTACAGACATGTGCTACCACACCCAGCTAATTTTTGTAGTTTTAGTAGAGACAGAGTTTTGCCACATTGGCCAGGCTGGTCTCAAACTCCAGCCCTCAGGTGATCCACCTGCTTTGGCTTCCCTAAGTGCTGGTATTATAGGTGTGAGCCACCGTGCCCTGCCAATGTTAAATTTTCTAGTAGCCACATTAAAAGAAGTAAAAAGAAATGGGTGAAGTTAATTTTAATAATAGATTTTATTTAACCCGACATATCTAAAATATATTCATTTCAACATGAACGAGATATTTTACATTCTTTTATTTTTCACTAACTCCTCAAAATTCAGTGTGTATTTTACATTGATAGCATATCTCAGTTTGAAGCAGCCACATTCCAAGTGCTCAGTAGCCACATGTGGCTAGTGACTCCATACTGGACTGTGTAGGTTTAGAGTTTCAGTACATCTGTTTGCAACAGAATCCACATAAATGGCATATTATGCAGATTTCTTTGTATGCACATCAGTTCTTGCATAGCATAAGTCAGGTCATGATGCTTTTAGTCTATGAGGCAGATTTTTTTTTTTTTTTGAGACAGAGCCCCACTCTGTCACCCAGGCTGGAGTGCAGTGGCGCAACCTTGGCTCACTGCAACCTCCATGTGAGACAGATTTAAACTTGGCCCTAATGCAAATATCATAAGAGAGATCTAATGGCCTTTGATTTCTTACTGAGGGCAAAATACATACCGTCGTTAAAACGCTTCAGCGTATAGTATGCGCGTCAGCCACTGCTTTTACTCCAGCCAGTGCTTAGTGTACCTGTACCACTGTCCAGGCAGCATCTGTCCTGTGGCAGGTGAATTTCAGCGGGGAAGATGGCAAGTAATATTGCTTTTTAATATATATATATTTTTGAGATAGAGTTTCACTCTCGTTGTTCAGGCTGGAGAGCAATGGCACGATCTCAGCTCACTGCCACCTCCACCTCCAGGATTCAAGCGATTCTCCTGCCTCAGTCTCTCGAGTAGCTGGGATTACAAGCATGCACCGCTGCGCCTGGCTAATTTTGTATTTTAGTAGAGACGGGATTTCTCCATATTGATCAGGCTGTTCTCTAACTCCTGACCTCAGGTGATTTGCCCGCCTCGGCCTCCCAAAGTGCTGGGGTGACAGATGTGAGCCACCCCGCCTGGCCTATTTTTAGAACTTCTTAAAACGACTTGGCCTCTATTGATAGTTCCATGACCCAAACTATTCAGAAAGAGGATTGCAGGTGATTAGCTGGCTGGGTTTCTCATACCAGAGCATTTCACTGGGGTGTTCCTGAACCTGCGACAACTTCTATGCTTGGCATTTTTCTTCCCTTCTCTGTTATCCCAGACTAAGAAATTTTTTAAAAAGTTACTTTTTGTTGAGTAGGAAAATCTCAGGCAGAACTTCTTGAATCCTCATTTATACTTTGTTTTCTTAAGAGACAGGGTCTCGCTATGTTGCCCAGGCTGGAGTGCAGTGGCTATTCACAGGCGTGATCCCACTACTGATCAGCACGGGAGTTTTGACCTGCTCCGTTTCTGACCTGGGCCAGTTCACCCCTCCTTAGGCAACCTGGTGGTTCCCCACTCCTGGGAGGTCACCATATTGATGCCGAACTTAGTGCGGACACCCGATCAGCATAGTGTACTACAGCCCAGAACTCCTGGGCTCAAGTGATCCTCCCACCTCAGCCTCCCGAGTAGTTGGGACTACAGGCATGCGCCACCGCCCGCGGCCATTTATACTTCTAAATCTGTAATCTTGGAATTAGCTCTCTGTCCCCCGACCCCCACCCCAAACACACTTTTTACATTTTGGCCATAGTACAGGTTTACTGTGTATAACTAAAAGGGCTGTGGAGTGGAAAGAATGGAACCGACATTTGTTGGGCATCTGTTGTGTGCCATGCACTGAACTGGGTGCTGTAGGAATATCTCAGTACTTCCCATTGAGGAGTGGGAATTGTTATCTATTTTATAAATAAGGGAACAGAAATCTGGAAATTGAATAATTTTTTCATTTCACACACCTCTGGTAGATAATGGATTCTAGAACCTGGCATAATAACTGCTTGTCATGCCAGTGTAAAAGAGATGTGTGGCCAGATGTGGAGGCTCACATCTGCAATCCCAGCACTTTGGGAAGCCGAGGCAGGAGGATCACTTGAGCCCAGGACAACATGGTGAGACCCCTATCTCTATTTTTTCAAAAATAAAATAAACTGGAAGAAGCAAGCAGGGTCCTCCCCAGAGCATCTTTATCCCTGATCACAGACCTGACCCCTGTGTTGGGCAGTGGCTACTTCTAGATTGTTTACCCTGCTGGGACTTGTGGTGACCATATGCACACTTTGCTTTACAGTTGGGACCCCTGATTTTAGCAGGATGGCCCAATGGAATCAGCTGCAGCAGCTTGACACACGGTACCTGGAGCAGCTCCATCAGCTCTACAGTGACAGCTTCCCAATGGAACTGCGGCAGTTTCTGGCCCCATGGATAGAGAGTCAAGATTGGTAAGTCCTTCTTGAGAGACTCTGCAAATTGTTAGGTTTCGGTTTGAGTCAAGAAACATGAACTCTCAACGTCATGCTTTGCTGTTTCATTGAAAAATGTATGGGTGCAGGTGATGGGGAAAATGAGATTATGAGATAAAGTGGCACCCTTTGGTCTTGTAAAGCATATTTTACATTAGAAGGCATGCGGACAACTGTCTTTTGACACATTGAAACAGCCTGTATGGTGGTAGATGTCTTGAAGGTTGATTTGGACCTCATTTACTTGGGCAGATCCTCTATATATTCTGATAATCCAGTGATGTGGTAGACATATTTTTTCTCTGAATGTGAATTCTATCATAGCTAGAACTTTGGGTTGATACTTGTAATTCCCCTTTAATTAAAGGAAAGAGACGCAGAGTATATTTGTCTGTTCTCAAATTGCTATAAAGAAATACCTGATACTGGGTAATTTATAAGAAGAGAGGTTTAATTGGCTCACAGTTCTGCAACTGTACAGGAAGCATAGCACCATCCACTGCTGGGGAGGCCTCAGGAAGCTTCCAATCATGGCAGAAGGCAGAGGGGAAACAGACAGGTCACATGGCCAGAGCAAGAGCAGGAGAGCAAGGGGAGAGGTGCCACACACTTTTAAATGAACAGATCTCACAAGAAGAACTCACTGTCTGGAGGACAGTACCAACAGGGATGGTGCTAAACCATTCATGAGAAACCCACTCCCATGATCCAGTCACCTTCCACGGGTCCCCACCTCCAACAGTGGGGATTACATTGCAATGTGAGATTTGGGCAGGGATGTAGATCCAAACTATATCACAGGATAAGGGAAATAGATCCCATTCATAGAAGAGATAATGGCACAGAAGTCCAGCAACTACTTCCTTCACTTTAATATGTTCAGGCTCACCTACTAATTTTGGTCTAATTCAGGCCAGTGTTAATACGACCTGGTTTTTTCAGAATGCATACTCTGATTTGGTGAAGGGCCAGGAGGTGATTCACAGATGTTGGAGATAGGCCATCCCAGCCTGGGATTATTTATTTGTACTAATAAATCTGACCAGAGTTTATTGAGAATTTAAAGCAAAACAGCGTATCTGTCTACTTTGCTCAAATATTTTACAAATACAGACTATAGAGTGGCTAAAAATATCTGGAATAATTGTTTTTTGTTTTGTTTTTGAGATGGAATCTGGCTCTGTAGCCAAGGCTGGAATGCAGTGGCGCTATCTCAGCTCACTGCAACCTCTGCCTCCAGGGTTCAAGCGATTCTCCTGCCTCAGCCTTCTGAGTAGCTGGGATTACAGGCGCCTGCCACCATACTCAGCTAATTTTTGAATTTTTTTTTTTTTTTTTTGAGACGGAGTTTTGCTCTTGTTACCCAGGCTGGAGTGCAATGGCGCGATCTCGGCTCACCGCAACCTCCGCCTCCTGGGTTCAGGCAATTCTCCTGCCTCAGCCTCCTGAGTAGCTGGGATTACAGGCACGCGCCACCATGCCCAGCTAATTTTTTGTATTTTTAGTAGAGACAGGGTTTCACCATGTTGACCAGGGTGATCTCGATCTCTTGACCTCGTGATCTACCCGCCTCGGCCTCCCAAAGTGCTGGGATTACAGGCTTGAGCCACCGCGCCTGGCTAATTTTTGAATTTTATTAGAGACAGGGTTTCACCATGTTGGCCAGGCTGGTCTGGAACTCCTGACCTCAGGTGATCTGCCAACTGTGGCCTTCCAAAGTGCTGGGATTACAGGCATGAGCCACTGTGGCTGGCCTGGAATAATTGTTAATAATTATTAAATTGATGGTATTTTATTGCTGAGCAAGAGAAATCTAAAATGATGAATGGGTTATGGCATCAGGTTTGCTTTGTTTTTTTTTTTCCTCTTTCTTGATGGTGATTTCTGTTTGTGTGTATGCGTTGGCTTGAGAACCATTCTTTATCATTCTTCCTTTTCCTAGGGCATATGCGGCCAGCAAAGAATCACATGCCACTTTGGTGTTTCATAATCTCCTGGGCGAGATTGACCAGCAGTATAGCCGCTTCCTGCAAGAGTCGAATGTTCTTTATCAGCACAATCTACGAAGAATCAAGCAGTTTCTTCAGGTATGATGAGAAACTGGGGACAAGGAGAAATAGGACCTACAGAGTTGGGTGTTAGCGTTCTTCCATGGGAGCATTTCTTTTCTCATTTGGCTAAATAATAAGAATCTATCTTGTTCTCTACGCAGTATCTAGATGCTTAGAAAAAAGAAAAAAAAAAAAAAAGAATCTATCTTATATTTTCAGTCACAGGAGAAGTAATTAGCCCTTTCTCCACGCACTGTGTACTTACCCGTGAGCATCATTACCTGAGAGTCACTTCGCTTGTCATAATTGAAGTAATAGAGTGATTTTTATATTGATCATACATGTTAGCATGTTAACCTGGTCCACTGATAGGAAGATCACTCTCACTGTTACATGTTAAAGGCTTGACAGTAATGGGATACTTCTTGACTAAGTCAGTTGCTTCTCCTTAAGACCAGGATATCATACTGTATAAAGACACTGCTTCAAGGCTTAGCTTTCAAAAAAATAAAAGACTCAAATAAGGTCAGGCGTGGTGGCTCATGCCTATAATCCTAACACCTTAGAAGGTTGAGGAGGGAGGATTGCTTGAGCCTGGGAGTTTGAGACCAGCCTGGGCAGCATAGCAAGACACCATCTTTACAGAAATTTTTTTTTTTTTTTAAACTAATTGGGGCCGGGCGCGGTGGCTCAAGCCTGTAATCCCAGCACTGTGGGAGGCCGAGGCGGGTGGATCACGAGGTCAAGAGATAGAGACCATCCTGGTCAACATGATGAAACCCTGTCTCTACTAAAAATACAAAAAAAAAAATTAGCTGGGCATGGTGGCGCTTGCCTGTAATCCCAGCGACTCAGGAGGCTGGGGCAGGAGAATTGCCTGAACCCGGGAGGCGGAGGTTGCAGTGAGCCGAGATCGCGCCATTGCACTCCAGCCTGGGTAACAAGGGCGAAACTCCGTCTCAAAAAAAAAACTAATTGGTTTTGGTGGCACACACCTATATTCCCAGCTACTCAGGAGGCTGAGGTGAGAAAATTGTTTGAGCTTGGGAAGTTGAAGCTGCAATAAGCTGTGATTACACCACTGCACTCCAGCAAGACTCAGGCTAATGGTCCTTCTAGTTACAGAAATAGTAACAACCTCCCCTTCACCCCCTACAGACAGCCTTCACCCAGGCTCTGAAGCGTTTGTTCTGTTGTTTCCGGCAGTAAATGCTTTCCTTGATGAATAAATTGGTTTAAAGTTAGCAAAGTTCAGTCCACATCTCCATGGTCTACTGCTGATTTTCATTACCTTTCTCTCCTACTTACAGAGCAGGTATCTTGAGAAGCCAATGGAGATTGCCCGGATTGTGGCCCGGTGCCTGTGGGAAGAGTCCCGCCTTCTACAGACTGCAGCCACTGCAGCCCAGGTGAGACCTGAGACCAAGCCCTGGTCTGGGAGGAATGGAAAATCAAACAACTTTATAATGAGATAAATTATTAGATCTACTAAAAAATAAGGAAAATAAATAGATCAATAATCATAAAAATACGTTGGAAAACTCTTAAAGAAATTCCCGCCCCCAAAAATACATTGA